ACGTGCAACGTAGCCCTAAATATTGTGTTGCCAATCGCACAAAATAAAAGAGAGAATGTTAGTTGGAGGTATGAATTCATTCCGAGGATTCAGTATGTACTAACGAGTTTTTCCCCTTCCATTGCGACTCTCATCGTATAAAGTAACGCAACAATGCATCGCTCCTCCCAGCAAGTAACGCGAGTATTGCTGTAACAGTTTCATATGCCATTCGTCGTGATGTAAGTTTCACTTGAACTAGAATAACGGTTCGCTATTGTGCTAGGCATGGGATCCCTGCCCGCGTGGAGCAGAAGAAAACATGAAACCTGGATAGCTCTACCCTGACCACTCGTGAGAACAAGAGCCATACGTTATGCTTGGGTCCCGTCCAGTAAAGTAAAAACTGCCACAGCACCCACAGGTGGGTAACACAGGACGCATTCAGTTGCGACCCGGGATATGGCTTGCGTCATGCACGAAGCACTGAATGCATCGGGGGATGGCGCAGAAACCTGATCCGAGTTATTGGCTATGACACGATCTCAGAGATCGAGTCATTCCAGTCGACTTATCTCGGCAAACAAGGCGTCTACCATGGAAGGTGTTCAGAGGCAAGTATACGTACCCAGAACCGGGAAACATGCGAATGAAGTTGTGAATGACACAAGAGATCACAATGCTGTCGCTTTTTTTGGTTTAGCATCAGAGGTTTTAGGCCCGTATTCACGTCGCTCCCCTAACCGTTAAGGGACCCCTAACTCAAGAAAGTTAGGGATCCCCTAGATGCTCTGTATTCACGTTCCTCCCCTAGCTAAGGGATCCTTAAACCAAACTCTAGTAGAAGAAAATTGGGGAGCTGGAGTGTTATATGCACTCTATCTCTGGCAGCACCTCATTCATACTGTAGATTTTTCTCGTGGCATTTCGTCACTTTTGAGAGTATCTAAGGATGGAAATCTCCCTTAAAAATCCATTAGTCCTTTTATTCACGTTGTCCACTTGAAGGAAGATGTCGTCGAGAGAAACTTGCTGCTGCTATATAGAAGTCACGGCAAAAATTGTATCTCCTACTCCAAATTTGAGGAAAAAAATATCTGCTCTGACTATACGAGTAGCTATTACCACGAAACTTGCACTGAGCCTAGGCCGATATGTGTCCAAGAGCTTTGTGGGATTTCATTGAAATGCTTCGAGGCGAGTCAAGGCTATTAGTCATATTTCAAAGAATTTGGAAACCATTGCAGTGGACCGGAGCGCTTGCTGGTAGTTTAGCGGAGGAGATGCCTTCGTTCTGCTGTTTGCATGTCATGCAGGTCATACCAAGCATTTAGTGCATTAAAATTCATTCTTTGGCTTGCCTTTTGCTTGATATAGTTTTGATAACGTTCCTTTAAAATAATAACAGATCAACAGCTGTTAATACAGAGTTTGCAATAAGGCTCATATTTACGTCGCTCTCCCAGGAACAGTATATCGTAACAGTTAGGGGACCCCTAGGTTAGGATTTCCCTAAAAATGGTATTAACTTTGGTCTGTTAGGGGGTCCTTTGCTAGGGAATCCTTTAGGAAGATGGAGGAGAGGGCGCATGTGCTGGAATGCTTTCATTTTGGTGGCCTCGTCACACACAGAAGGCAAAGGATCTCTGCTCATAAATTGATTGTTGCTTTTTTTTTTCTCTTGCGTCTGAGTGAGTCCCCTAACCTCCTTAATCATTCTTGTGGCCCTCCTCTGTACTCCCTCGAGCGCCAACAGATCGCCCTTATTTGTAGGCCTCCAAAACTGGATGCAATATTCCAGTTGGGGTCTTATCAGCGCCGCATACAACGGAAGAATAACGCGAGATGCCCTACTCGCAAGTGCGGCTGAAGGCTCCCCTAACTTCTTTACAACTTCCTATATCTCTTAGGGGCGCGTTTAGGGATTCCTTAGCTAAGGGAAGAACGTGAATACGGTAGCCTTAGGGGGCCCTTATTTTCGAGCCTTTTCAGTCATCATCTTTTAGGGATCCCTTAGCTAAGGGAGAGATGTGAATACTGCCCTTACTCCCTAAAAACAAGGAAGTAATGTTGCTCACCTCTCTCTTTCCTGAGAATAACCACAAACTTTCTCTACTGGTTTGAGAAGTACTCTCCTTCCTTCGTTTCGCGTTCTTAAAATAGTTATGGATTCTGCTCGTATAAAGGAGTAGTTATCGATTGTACTCCCTTGTTTTTAGGGAGTAAAATCGCTAACTCCAGTTTCGCTCCCTTTCTCTCAAACAGCTCACTCTTCTTTAAGAGTGTAGAAGGTGCCATCGTTCCTTTCGATTCCATACCTCGGTGAGCATTTTTGGTACAACCGTGTGTGATGAGCATCATCGTTGGTTTGGACATATCTGCTTTTTATGGGTACTCATCAAGTGAAGTCACCTCTTCCCCGCTTTTTTCCAAGCAAAGACATTGACGACTCGGAAGTCAGTTAATTTATTCGAGCATTCATTTTCTATGGCTAAAAAAGCGAGACTGAGTTGCTCTTGAGTCATTACACTTCTCAAATGACTCTTGAAATTTTGAGTTTCGAAAAGGAGCGCTCCGTGGTTGCCACTGTCACTGCTAGCTGAAGTCAGTGTGGAAGGGTGAATAGCATTGAAAGTGGCCACCACTTCAGTTGCGATATGTCTCTGTGCAGTGTCGCGTAGAATTCCTTTGCTTCATTTTGACTTTCTTTTTCAGTTTCCGGCACCCATTTCGTTCCCATGCCAAAGGGACACCAGCCAACCAGCTAACGATCCCCACCCCTTTTGGCGTAGCTCAGCGCCTTGACCCCTCCGGCCCGTGAGCCCCGGTGCAGCTGCACCGCCTGCACACTCGATAACCACGCCACTGTGTGGAAAGGTGCCTGTGACCACAGGGGACTGAAAGCGCGCGGAAGATGGAAGGCGGAGAGGAGTGATGTGCAAACTGACCCAAACTGGAACGGGGTCGGGCTGCCTTGATATTTAACATGTTCACACCCAAGCGGCATGTTTATATTCAGAGGTGGGCAGTATTTAAAATAGTTGTATTTGAAATACACATTTCAGGTATTTTGTATTTAAATACATATCACAATATGTATTTGCATTTTATATGTGAAATACAGTTCACTACAAAAAAAAGTATTTTGAAGTACATTTGACGAGATATGAAATACATTTTAATGGGTTCAGTACAACTTCAAACATGGCTACCTCAGAAGGCTGTCTTTATTGGATGGGGAGTTCTTTATTATTGTTGAACGAGAGGGGTAGAGGGCCAAGGTCAAATGTGTTGCATGATCAACTGAGAAAGTGATTAGAAAAACCCTAGCTGCAACATCCAACTTCTTCATACATTTGAAGGTTGATTGTGTTCCAATATCTTGGTGTGAATATGTTGACCTAACCTGCTCAAGTAAGGTTTTTGATTCATGATATATTGGCCATCTTTAGACCTAGGCTTTGTGCAAGCCCAAATCTAGCCAATACAGATTAATATTTCTCTTCTTTGCTTTCAGAGAGTACATCCGGATCTCATTGAGGATTATGAATGGTATAAGGGGAGCAGTCTGGGATTCAGAATGGAAAACAGAAAGAATGCCATGCTCAGGCAATGTGCTGTGAAGGCCAATGGTCAGAACTTCTGAAGGGATTCTGATTTTGGACAAAATCTGAAAGGCACGATGTAAACTTGAAAATGTTTATATTTTGTATTTACAATACATTTTTTTCACGGGCATTTGTATTTTGTATTTAAATACTCATCACGTGTATTTTGCCTAGCTCCGTGTATATATGCCAATTCCTATGGCATTTATTTTCCTCGGGTCTGTGGAGGTTAACCCTTTCGGTACGGAGTTTTTTGCCCGCGGCTTGGCCTAACACAGTAGCCTTCGGCCTTGACTTGACTACCAAAGTCTAAGTCCATGATAAGCCTCGGCAATGCTTGACTCATGTGGAACGAGAAGCAAAGGAATTCTACGCGACACTGCACAGAGACATATCGCAACTGAAGTGGTGGCCACTTTCAATGCTATTCACCCTTCCACACTGACTTCAGCTAGCAGTGACAGTGGCAACCACGGCGCGCTTAATGCTTAGTTTGGACTTGAAATACTACCTGCGGCGAGTAAGAGTAGTTAAAATTTGTACTTACCTTAATTGTACTTTGAGTGTGGTAATCGCGAAGCAGGGATCGACGCAAAGAGAGAAGGGACCACGCACGTCCGGTCGTACCGGTACGGCCGAAGTACCGAAAGGGTTAATAGGAATGCCGGCCAATTATGTCTGACTCGGGCGCGCCTTAAGTAGAGCGCCTGCGCTGAGATTGTCCCGGCTTCCGGCTCTGTATTTGTGTGCCCTCTGCTGGTACTCACGATGAAATTCGAAATACAGTACTTGAAACCATCATCGAAACTTTGCAGCAAACCTATCGGCTGGCCGTACTGCCGCTACCGTGACAGAACAGAACTCTGGCAGCCCGGCCTCAGATAAACTAAGAAACAGAGATGTTGACAGTCAGGGAGTGACTGACACGAGGCTCTTTCTGAACGAGAGACGTCTTGGCTCTGTTGGCCTACCGGTGTGACACCGTTCCACATGAGTCAAGCATTGCCGAGGCTTATCATGGACTTAGACTTTGGTAGTCAAGTCAAGGCCGAAGGCTACTGTGTTAGGCACGTGACAACTGTTAAGTATGGAGGTGAAGTTCAATGGGAACCATTCTGGAATTCTTGAGCAGTAAATTGTATTATGAGGTTTGCAAGAGGTCGAACCACTACTATTGTACTACCTAACGTTAGCATGAAATGGCATTAAAGAATCACAGGGCCCGAGGTTCCAGGCATAGGCCGTGACTAACGTTGCCGATATACTTGTTTGGCCAAGTCCATGCTTATGTACATGTAGATTGGCTAGCTCTTAGGCTAGGACAGGGCATTGGCTAAGTAACACGAGATGTGGTCCATTCAGAACTATAATAGGCCCCCTCCCAATCGTAGACTTGGTCTTTTCAATAATGGAAAATATTATTTTCCTCTTGGAGGTTATAGGTACTGCTATGGGAGATCGTAGCAGTGGAAGGTATTTTGGTGATGCCAAACCTCGTGGGAGGTTGGCTCAGGCCATGAATCAAGGATCAGGTAGCAATTGGAGAGGAAACAATGGAGGTTGGCAAAATGCTGGAAGTGGTGGACAATGTACAAGCAATGATACAAATTGGCGTGGCCCTGGAGGGAATACAAGAGGGCATGGATCTCAGCCCAGGATGTCTGCTCCCCCTGTTGTAGAAGAAGATTGGGATGCTGACATTCAAGAAGATCAATATTCAAGCTCAACAAAGCAAACCCAATGTCTTCCTCCAGAAGCTCATCAAATTGACTCATGGGTAGGCCAGGTTTATGCTAAAATCAGGTGTGGAGAATGAAAAAATAAAACTCAATAGACAAGATATAAATGAAAGCAAGTGAGAGCAAACTACCTCAAATCTAGTAGCTTATGTTTGCTATACTCTATTTTCAAATAAGTGCAATAATTTTTATTCCCTGTTTGCTAATTTCACTCATGTGGTAGGCCATTTTGCTACAAATTGCCCTGTTTCTATAGCATGGCAGATGAATTTTAAAGTACCCAAATGCACATTTTGGTTGGGATGCTTTAGTCCTTTCCCGTTTCCTGAACCTTATGCCTTTCCTGTCTGCCATTGTGATGATATTGACTTGTTGACTGAAGTGCTGAATAAGGTTGAGTGTAATGGAGATGAGAAATTGGCAATAATATGTGGTTATGTTAGAATGGAAGGTATCAATGTTGATAGATCCCTACAGTAGAGCTAATACTCTAAAAGACATAATGGATTTAAAAAAAAAGTACTCATTATTTTGAAATAAACAAGGATTATAACCTGGTAAATGCCCTGGGGATTGTTCCATATAGACCTCCTTTCAAATATTTCTCTAATATGATTGAGACTTTGCTATACAGTTTTAAGAAATTTCATCTTCCAGCTCTCCAAGGTCAATAATTGAAATTCTGTAGGTGTTTCAGATATATGAAATTCTTTTAAAAAGGAAATGAAATCCTCAATTGTTGCAACACAAGGTACAAAAAAACTTGAATGGAAAATCGTAAAGACAGTCCATTTTGCTGTATCCTTCAGGTAGTATAACTAAGGTGTTGTTGAACGAGCATATCAAAGTGTTTCAGTGGATGATTTTTGTAGGATTTTTGCAAATTGCAATCCTATAGCAATGCAGCAGAAGCCAAGGAGGCATTCAAAGTAATAAGCACACTTCTTTAAAGAAGAAAACATGTTTAACTTTTGCATTAAGTGGCTATATTTTACCTAAAAAAAAAAAAATTAATCTCATAATTTTTGTCCACATTATTGTTAACTATGTATTTGAGTTGCAGTGGTGGTTTGTGGAAACGTGGAAGGATGTCCATGCCTAACAAGCAGTTGTGTGTCACTGTCAGTTGCTCACTACACTGTATCACTTGACAACACGCTGGTCTCAGACTCAGCTGTGTTACTAAATGTAATTGTCATATGAATGGGATGTTGTGCAGAAACAGGTTAAGAGCCTTGTTTGAGGTGATTGTTGGTACCATTACATAATTTTTGGACTTTGGGACATTCTGACAAGACTACTCAGTTTTCAGAAGGATGAGAGGCCTATCAATAACCAGATTTGCATCCAATTTGTCTTGCAAGCAGAGGAGAATATCTCCTTTTTGGTGACTTGACTGCCCCAATTGGCTTAGTGCTTTTATGGTTTCAGTACTTGGGACTCCTATAGGATGAGGCTGAGATGGGCATTAACCCAGGCCAGTTTGCCATACCCCATGCACATGATGTTTTCTTTGCTTTAAGCAGTTAGCAATTTAAGTACCAGCTCGAGAGGTCGATTTTTCAATTGGATGCAATACCTGCCCCTTGCTGGATGTGACATCAACCGCTCAAGCCTGTTTAAAATTTTCTCAATGGTGTACTAGTGCCTAAATGCACTTAGCATAGAAAGATGGGACATGTCTTTTTTTGCTAGTGGCTCATCTAGCTCTGCTGAGGCCCCCAGCATCTGATGGCATCATTTTAAGGCTTAGCTGCTCAGCATTCTCATAGTTCACTATGTTCTGCTCACAGCTGCTTGCCCAATAGTGACCTCATTCAATGACGTGGTCGTGCCTAGCCAACACATCTTTTTCACCAGCAGCTGTTAGCAGCTGGAGAAAAAGACACTCCCATGTTCTTGTTTTAACCATTTTAGGATGCACTTTTTTACAGCTTTTGTCAGACTGAAATCGCTGCCCTCCCAGGTGCTCCTTCAGGAGCCCAAGCAGATGGAAATTGCTTAGAGGTAAATCAGGGTTGTAAGGCAGGTGTGTGAGACTCCCAGTCAAGGCTGGCCAATTTTGCTGAGGTTTCATGGCCCATCTTTAGTCAAGTGTTCTCTTGCAGAAAGAGCACTTCATGGGAGATTAGACTGGACAATTTTTTGCGAATGGCTGCCAGTACAGCTTGCAGGACCTTGACGTAGCAGGCAATGTTGATGGTCAAGCCTTTGGGCAAAAGTCCACATGAATAACCCCAGAGTGATCTCAGAATACCGAAACCATGCTTATGCCATGCCCTAAGTCATCCAGCACACTGTTGTTTCCATCTTTAAAATGTGAACACCATTTAAACACAGCCAGTCTTTGGGGTGTTTCTTCACTTAGCTAGGCTCTAATTTGCTTATGAATCTCATTTGGTTTATGCCTTTACTAAAAACTTGATCACAATTCTCTGTTCAAGAACCAAGTCCAAGGACTTCTTGGCCATTTCACGTATCAGACAACACATGTTGTCCACAAAAATTTTTATAGCAGATTTTGTTTTTTGAGACCCCCACTATTAATCCATATGCATAACTTGCAATTTTATGATTGATTTAAGCCTCTAAAAGAAAAAGTCCACGAATGACTTGAACCTCCCTTGTATATGTTGAGATCACAGGAAAGGAACACAAAGAAAAAGAATGGAAAGACCCTTCTTTCAATAGAGACAGCAAAAAAACAGAATTGGAATGGGGAGCAGGAGGCAACCATAACTAACAGGCTAGGCCGGCCAGGCAGGATTTTCAACTCTTCGTTTCAATTTGTGAATGATTTCATGCTTGGTTGCATTGCAATGAACACTGAGTTGCTTGCAGTCCAAAGGCTGCACAGTTGTGTGCCTGTTTTCCTTTGAGAATCTAGATGAAGTTATTTTTAATTTCAAGTTGAATTTCAGAAGAGTCAAATGGTAAATTTTAAGTTAATGCCATTGATGGGATTGTTTACAGCAATAAGATAATAGACCTATTTGAATAATTTTCTTATTTTATTTTTGAAGAGCTATATTCAATGCTTGTGGGGGTGACAGTTGAGGAGCCAATTGCTAATGTTGCTTTCCCAAGGAGGTTCAGTATCTCTTTTGTCTTGTTATCTTTACCCTGAGACTATTTGTAAGTGAAGGTGACATAGCCAATGCGATAACCAAACAAAATTTTGTAGTTGTCATACCAGGATACCTTGAAACATTGGCTTGATTTTAGTACTCTTCTAGTTTTAAGGTTTGAGTGACAACCCTCAGGGTCAGGAATAAGCTGATAAGCTGATATAAAAAACTTGGCTGTTGATATAACAGACCCACAATGAATAAATAAAGTTGGCACCCTCTGTGCTGTTCTTGACAGATTTACCAGTGTTTTTTCTTTTAATTTTTGTGGAAATGAAGGAGGGGAGAACTCAAGATGATTCTTGGGGTAAGCAAGACCAACAGCATGTCCAAGCTTCCTGGGATAACTGGGACCAACAACATGGTGGTGATGCCAGCTGCCCAGAAGTTGAGAGATCAGGCATGAGGCAGGATGGTGGAAGAGGTAGAAATGGAGGTTTCTCTTCTGGAAGGAAGACAAATGAGCAGAGCTCTTCCTCAACTATTGAAGTTCCTTCCTATGCAATAGGAAGAATCATTGGAAAGAAAGGTGCAAAAATCAGAGAGCTTGAAGAAGAGAGTGGTGCTCGTATCAAGGTTTGTATCTTGTGTTCTTCCTCTTGTCAGTTTAATAGGTTAGCATGTAGCATGTTGTGTTGATGCATATCATTTTTGAAGAGAGTCATGTCAGCACTGATAGTAAGTTTTTACTACACATTCTTGAATAAACAGGAAGGGATGTGGGATGGGTGATAATGTCATCAATGATGCCACCAACACATAAAATGTGTGGGAAAGGCATTTATGATAAGGAAGGTTTTATTAGCCTCTTTCTTAACTTGACTGTGGTCGTTATATACAGTATATCGAACAGCAGCTGATTGTGCCATCGATATACTGAATTGCCTGGAAATGTTGTGCAATTCATTTTTGCAGCATATTATGAATAAATACATAAATGCATATACAAATTTCCTGTAAAAATTTTTTTCCTGAATATGGAAAAAAAACCCAAACCCAACACTGGTGGTACACCAAGCCAAAACAACTCAGCAAAGGGTTAAGAGCATGATTTCTATGTGAAGATCCACCAATCAGGAAAGACTGGTGTCATGTGACCTTACAGGCCCAGCGCGGGAAAATTCGAGGCCCCCTGCGGCGAATACATTGGGCCACCTCTGGGTTCCGGAGATTTGGAGATTTGCCCCTTATTTCATTTTCGATTATCGAAGTTACATCAGGAAGAAAATGAAAATCGCTACATTTTCATTAAGCAAAGAAAGGAGAGGAATCTGTGTAGGTTGTCCAAAGATTTAGCGTTCGTATCCTCGGAACCTTTGCCACCAGCTCATCGATCACTTTCTTGTAATTCAATGACCTGCTGACCTCCCTCTCGATGGAGAGTATAGCTAGTTCTGTCAGGCGTTCTTGTGGCACGCTTCATCTTAGATAAGTTATAAACTGTTTCGGTTTGGAGAGGCTTATTTCTGCAGATGCAACTCTCACTGGAGCCGTGAGTAGCACTCCAAGAGCGATGGACACGTTGGGATACACAGGCCTGACTACTCTTACGAATGAATCGTGGAGTTCCAAGAGCATCAGGTGGCTCTGGTAGAAGTGTACCAGACCGCGAAGCTCATCGACGAAGTCGTTCAGCTATTGCTTCTATTCAGCAAAATGGGCCTAAGCTTTGCACGGGTACCATCGATGATTAGGGTTGCCACCCTTTCATAATTAGGATCAATGGTACATATTTCAGATACTGCAAACTGGTCTTAATATGGACTTTGTTTTGTCCATATTATGAACTTGTTGAGATTTTTTAAAATAAGAAAGCTTAATTACAGCTAAAACGGCTCTTTTCCATAAGTCAAAAGCCGTAGGCCACACTCTCTTAGTATCAATTGGCGGCTTGGCTTAAGATGGCTCTGGGTATCTTCAGCATAGCTGCATGCACAAGTATGCTTCGAATATTTGTGCACATTTTCATATGTCCATATTTTGTTAAATTGTGTGACAACATGATCAAGGGAGACAAGGGGGTGAAAACGAGGTAGACCTTTCTACTCGGACGCCTTTCTCGCCTCAAGTGCCTCCAAGCGCGAGGATTTCGTGCGGAAATTATGAAGGAATGAAAATAAATAAATAAGAATACTTTTCATGCTTTGGGACGGTGACGGATTTCGCCCAGCTCAGCCTTCTCGCCTGTTCAGAGTAGGAAGACCGAGGAGTATTCTTCGTCTCATTCAGAGCTTGGATCTCTTTCGGAATAACTCGCAGCGCTTCAAAGTTTTCCCTCGTTTCTTTCGTTCTTCCTATCTTATTATTATTTATTTCTTCCTCTTGGGGCTGGGGGCCCCTGGATTCTGCGTGGGCCCCCTGCGGCCGCAGGGGACGCAGGGGTACTCGCGCCGGCCCTGGACCTTATGTCGTAAAGTTGTCACCTAAATGTATTGGACTGATTCCATTCCTTTCCAGAATTGTAAGGCTTCTTGCAAATACCATGCAATGTTCTTTGGAGGTGGGATAGAAGACTTCTGCTTAAGGGGTGGGAACATGATCCATCTTGTGAATTGACACCGCAGTACCTCTGTGTCACTTTTTTCTGTCTGATATCAACATTTCAAAATTACCCATGAATCATTCCTCTGTCCAGCCATTATTCATAGCACCTTGAACAAACAGAATTCTTTGTGCAGGCCAATGTAATTAGGGCTGTAAAAAGCAGGTGAAGAGCATCAAAGTAGGATATTGGGTTTGGGAATACAGTCGAACTCTCTTATAATGTTGAAGGGACCAGGAAAAAATTGTTATACCCTAGGTTCATTGTAACTGAGGTTGTAATTTCCCTTATTGTATAGAGAAATGCACTATGATCTCCATGTTCACCAGGGAAGCCTCCTTTACTTCTCTAATTTTCTATCAAATCATTCTCTCTAGATTAGATAAATTCATGAAGGCTTGCCTCTTTTGCTTTTCACAACCCAGATGTGAATGCTAATTAGCCAGGAATATGATAAATTGTCTTCCTCACTAATAATGAAAGAAAAAAGGTTTAAGGTAAGTTGATACTTGGTGTTGCTGCTTGGGAAAAAGGGTAATATACATTGTGGTATGAAGAGCTCATTCCCCTTACCTGTAGTAACAAGACAGATGGGAATCAGTCATGGCATAGTTTTGAAATGCTTTCAAGTTCACTTTTTCTTGTAGGTTGAGGAAGAAGAAAATTCTGGGCAAAAAGTGGTGAAGTTGCATGGGGATGCTGATGCCTTATCTAAGGCAAAAATGCTGATCCAGGACATTGTTTCCTCAGCCTCTGATAGGGGGAGAGGTCCAAACCAGAGGGACCAGTATCAACCACCAAGGCAAAATTGTTCTGATTCCCACTCAGGATTTCAGCAACAATCAAGTTATGCTTTTTCTGACTTGCAACAACACGGTAGTTGTCCTCAGAATGAGGAAAAGGAATCTTCTGTGACTGAAGACTCTTCTCCATTTACCATCGATTGGGATGCTTTCCGGACCAATTCTGTAAGCCTGATCCTTGTTATGAATCATTTTTGCATCTGAAGTATGTTAAATACTACTTTCTATCTCAGGTCTGGTCACTACTGAAGACTTTTTGTTTACAGGGTGTTAAGGAAGTTGTGTCCCATCACAATATGCCTATTACCTCAGCAAAAATAAAAGATCAGGAATTTTTTAAAATACACAATAACAAGGACAGTTAACTGATTTAGAATCACTTAATATTTTTCAATATAGCCACCCTTGGCATGGATAACAAGGTTCAGACGACCCATGAAAGCATCGACTGATTTTCGCAAGACTTCCTGTGGAATTTGCTCCCATTCTTGGTTCAGGGATAGCTTGAGAGAATCCAAAGAATGGCATTGTGTGGCTCATACTATGCTCTCTAAGATGGACCGAAGTGAAAAATCTAAATCTGATTTTTTTCAAGCCACTCGTCATCAAAGGGCAGCTTCTGTAATGGTCTGGGCAGGGATTACCGGTTCTGGACGCACTCCTCTCATTTTTGTGCCTAAGATGAAGGTCAACACTGAAGTATACTGGAAAAGCATCCTGGAAGACTGCCTGGTTCTGTGGACCACAAAAAATTTCGATGGAGGCAGCTGGGTCTTCCAGCAGGACTCAGCGCCAGCTCACAAGGCACAGATGACCTAGGAATGACTGTGGAGAAATGTCCCCAACTTCACAATGGCCCTCTTTCTCCCCCGATGTCAACCCCCTAAATTTTTCAATTTGGTCCATCTTGAAGAGCAAAGTGTGTGCTACAAAGCACTGTTCTTTGGATTCTCTCAAGCATTCCCTGAACCAAGAATGGGAGCAAATTCCACAGGAAGTCTTGTGAAAATCAGTTGATGCTTTCATGGGTCACCTGAAACTTGTCATCCCTGCCAAGGGCAGCTATATTGAAAACTATTAAGTGATTCTAAATCAGTTAACTATCCTTGTTATTGTGTACAGTGAAAACTCATTAACTCGAATCCTGATAAGTCGAAATTCTGCTTATCTCGAAGTTCAATGCTTGGTCCCGGCGGAACCCCGTAGGACACCATGTTAAAAGCTCCGTTTAACTCGAATTCGCTTATCTCGAATTTCCGGATATCTCGAATGATATTTTCACTCCCTATAACGATTTTCTCACGATTAACTCGAATTCAGGGTGAGAAGGGGGGAAAAATTCTTCTCGTGAGACTTTTCGATTTTTTATAGAATGAATGACAAGAAACCCTTTCGGGAGGATGCTCTTTTGTTT